ATAGATACAATAATTGGTTATTTATGTAAGTTCAAAATCAATTCCTATTGTCTTTTAAAGACAACACTTTCGAAAAAAGAGAATTCATAGTAACTCGTTCCTCACCCTCAGCTTATTTTCAGAAAAACAAGTTGTTCTCCGTAATTAATTGGAAGAATAATATAATCAAATATATGAATTAATTTATAAGTATATAAAGTCACTTAAACAACAAAAAGGAAAAAAAATTGCCTATGACTGGGATCGAACCCTGCCCAGCAAAATAAAAGATCGATGCTCTAACCACCGAGCTGTTGTGATAGTAATAACTTAGACGATGCTTGAAAATTATAAGCTGCGGGCTTAGGCACAGAGAATGGGAGTAGAACTTGCCGGCGAAGTATCGGAACTCGCCGCGGATTGTTTAAACTATTTTTTACTGTTAATAAGTTGTTAAAAAAGGCTATTATCAATGTATTTGTACAGGAAAAGGTTAATGGCCCTGTTCAAATATTTTTTCATTTGTGATCGATTAATTGAAAAATAATTTTACATAAAAATTGAAATTTAAAACTCATTATTGGCATGATAAAATTGCAATCGCATGCAATTTAAATTAAAAAAAATTTTGCCGCAATTTGAATCGAACACCGTTCAGTAAAATCACTGTCTAACCTTCTGACTACCGAGCCAGCATATTTTCATTTGCTTTGTTTACGTTTAGATATCATAAGCTTCAGGCTTGGTAACAGAGGGTAGGGGATGTGCTTGCTCGTCAACTTTTCGGACTCGCAGTCTTCTCTGAAAAATAAGACGGAGATAAATAGATATATTCTGTGCTCTGTCTTGTTCGGACCAGATTATTCTGAAATTTGTAAATTTCTTGGTGCCTTAAAGCTCCCTTTTTGTAGTGCATCCCTGAAAATTATCGTTTTTCGAACGATTTCATTGTTACTTACTCAATTTCAATTGATGTCAAGCTTTGGCCTTTTGCCACACAACGCGAGGGCGTAAAGTCAACTCCGAGAAACTTCCCGACTTCTGCCCAGCCTTAAATACTCACTTCATTCATGGCCATGCTCATTTATGACAGGTTACCCTAAGGCATCCACTTTATCCACATATTACCTTCAATGTACCTTCAGAGTACCCCGAATGCAATAAGTGCTGATGATGATAAAATGTACTAAAATTAAATACCCTAGAGTTCAAATAATGAAGTATAAATTTGAAAATGGCCCGTTTGCTATAATATTTTTTGTTAATCACTAAGAGAAGTAATAAGTTTTGATTCATACAAATTTCATGGTATTTACATAATTGTATCGAAGAAAATTTTGAAGAACAAATCATTTGAGATAATTTCTCATAAATAAAATACTTTTGTAAAAATGGTTTATTTGATCCACACTGTAGACACTAGCGCCATCTGAGAATCTACTGTCGAAAAAATAGTTCACGTAAGATACATGATAAAAAGAATAGTTCAAAACTAAAAGTGCATTCAAACGACAAGGAAAATTGTGTCAGTGCAGTAGATGCAGTCTCATATAAGTTAATGTTGTGCTAAAATTGGACCAAAACCGAGTTAAATGGATTATATATTCATATATTTATTGTTACCAAATTTTTTCAATCAGTAGGAATTTTTTTATTAATATTTTTTTTACAAAAATCTTAAAAATTAAATGATATGAAAAATATGAGTAATAAAAAAAGAGCATTTTTTCAACTTTTGTTTTAAATTCGAAATTAATAAACAAAATAAAAATTAAGTCAATCGTTATTCTTTGAACTTTCAATCCAAACTTTCATAAATGAAAAAAAGGAGTTTATAAACTTTCATTTAGAATTACCAATTTCTTGCTCTAAACTACTAGCATCTTCATCGTCTTCTGTACCATTAACATCACCTTTTTTTTATTAGCTTTTTAAAATTACTCATTACTTAAAATAAAGTATGGTACATGTTGAACTCTTGAAATACCTCTAAAAGACTAGAATCTTCTGAGTTTTGTACTAAAAAAATTATTTTTTTTAGTACAAAATTTATTTAAAGTTAAAATATGTACACTTTTTTTTATTACTTTTATGTTAATCAGGACTTTAATGACCGTGCAAAGGATCTGCAAAATTTCTAGACTAGAATGAATCATAAATTATTATAACTAAAATAGAAATAATTTCCTACAACCGTAAGTTAACGACTTAATTTATACATAAGCATTTTTATTATAATAGATGTTAAAAACAATGAATAGGGTAAATAAACAACTTTCCAAATGGAAACTTAATATATACGTAAAAATTGAATAGTAAATCAATAAAAAAATTTGATACATGTTTTTACCAGATCCAACAAAAAAACATTACAAGTCTAAAAATATCCGCATAGATTGTGACGTTATTTTTGGGATAACGTCCTATTTATAGTATGTAAGGCACAGTTTGGCCAACTTAGGGATGTTCTAGGGACTTTTTAGTCCAAAGTAAATGAAATAATTTAAATAATTTACATAGTCACAGCTCACATGAGCTATTTTGTTGAATATTTTAGTCAATTATACTTTTTTTTTAGTAAATAATTGTTTAATTTATTAAATATTTCTATTTTTATTAGAATAAAGTCACGTGAAGATAACCACTAATGAGAAATGTGCCTTGATAATTTGAAAAGAATGAGACTCTGGAAGGGCAACAAGAAGAACCAGAGAATGAAAGAACGAAGGTTAAGAATTTTGGATTGAGATTTTTGCAAGAGAGTCGAGAGGAAGCCGAGATTGAAGGCAGTTGAGAGAGAGCCAAGCTCAGAGTCTGTCGAGTGCAAACTACAGAAGAAGGCAGTCAAGATCAAGCCAGGACTAGAGTTTGAGAAGATGAAGATCCAGTGAAGGAGCAGTCAGCAAGCGAGAACATAGGAGAAGTACTGCTCCTGTGAAAGGAGCCAGAACAACTAGGACCAGGTTCAGTAAAACTATTAACATCTAGAGCTCGGCTGAAATTGTAAGTTATTGAGATGAGTTTGTATTTGGGGAACTTAAAGGTAAATTTTATAGTTAAAAGGAATTAAAAGATGGAATAAAAGGAATTCGTGAGGCTTGGTTTGCTCTCGTATTCGTAGTCGTAAGTGTAGTTTAGTTAAGTCTGATTTGTTTAGTTAAATAATTTTGCTTTGATTTATTTTATTGAGAAAATATTTTGCGTTATTGAGTAATATTTTGAGTTAGAATTTGTGGAGTCAGAAGTTAGCTTTGTTAAGGAAGAAAGAATTTTGAGTTAGATTAGTTGAGAAGAAATTATAGTTGCGTTACAGAGATGATATTTTGAGTTAAGATTATCAGTATTGTTTATTAGAGAAAAGATTTTTATTGTTTCAAGTTAAGTTATTAAGAGTGGGTCCAGATCCAGAATTGTAACAATGAAAGAGAGTTATTTTATGTAATTGAAGAATTAAGGTAGAGTAATTAATTTTGAGTTTTGTAAAGTTAGACTTTGTAAAAGGTATTTGAGAGACCATTGAATAATTGTTAATATAGTAGAGTTTGAGTTGTGGGAAAAAAAATTGGAGTAAAAATATATTTCTTTGTTTGAATAATTTTCTGTAGCGTTCTAGAACCTTCAACTCAAGTCATCCTTATTTTATAGTTTTTTTATATATTTTTCCGGAACCTTTACAATAATTTGAATCTTTTTGGATACAAACCAGATATCTATAAGAAGTATATTATTGCATAAGAATAAGGATCTACCTGTATATTCATATGTATAGGAATGTGATTGCATAAATATTATAAAAAATTTGATTAATTAATAATGAAGTTGGTACTTACGATGTATTTTTTATTTTTTTAGAGAAATGATAATAATAACCATCAAAAATTTGGCTTTCTAATTGTCTTCGATCCGAGACTCCTGGTCCATGATGAAATGATAAACACTGCATATTAATCACTTTGAAATACCGTGAAAATGATTATCTAATTATTTTAGAACTTACACATGTATTATCAATTTTCATAAACCGAATATAACCGAGCAATATCGAAGATTCGTGGATTTGTTATAGAATTTGAACTTCGGTAATATTCGGGCAACACATTGCGGGTCCTTTTATACCTCGAGAACATTGGTAGTGCTCCGGCAGTATAAACGCATGCGTATGTTCTCAACGTGACTAGTGCCAATAATATCTTTCTTCATTTCCAAACTGAATCAATATCTACATTTCTCGAAAATGATTTTATATTTTGAACTTTTCTATTAATTATTTACGTGAACATTTATGTAAACATGGTCTTACCAATCATTCACCACCGTGACCACAGAATATTTGACGGACATTCTTATCATCGAGAAGTGGGCTATGCAACGTAAGTATATTTATGTAAAACTAATAATTATCTATTAATAAGTATTGTCAATTAAAAAAAAAAATTATTTAAATTTGAAACATGATATATTATTGCATGTTATACTTGAATTCAGTTTCTACTGGATATTACATCAGAGTGAGAGAGAAACAGATTCTAGACTTATTGTTGTTTACATGTTGTTCTTCATTTGTATGTACATTTTATCTTTACATTTTGGTATCACTCTTTTCAAAACAATTCTTAGAAAACCGAACGAAAATTTATTTCTTTTCAAACGATAGTTGAGAATGCAAATTAATATAAGTTTGTTTACTTTTTATTAGATATTCTTGGAAATGTGTGCTTATAATTTCATTATCATTGATTATAATTACTCTCTTTTCAGATTGCTGCGATGTCAATTATATCGAGAATTTTTTTGCAGGGGACAATGTAAAATTGTCAATAATGTCTTTCAACTTTTGAAAGAACATAATTAGTCCAGTCATATTAGATTTTAAATCGTGAAATCTTGAAATGGATAAAATTTTAATAGACTATTTGTAGGGGATGTAGAATTAGTTTCCCCTAGAAAAAAGTGAGCTCCGACACCGGGCAAGGGTTGAAATCACCCTTTAAACGCTTTTTTATGCATTTTTTCATGTTTGTTCTCATATTTTTCGAGAACTATAACAGATATGAAAAAATATTTTAAACAAAAGTTGTAGCGGCTACAATTTTACATAAAAAAGTCCGCATCTTCGCAACCTTACCTGTAACAGGTGAAAAGTTATTGACTTCTAAAGGTTGGAAAAATTCAAAACAATGAAAATATTGAACACCCTTTGGGCACGATACTGCTGTGAGAGAAACAAAGCGATATGTCAGCGCTTGTCACACTCATTGCGAGTATTTAATCATAATAAACGTGCCTAAACGAAACACAACGTAAACAAAACCCATGGGATAGACAAGGAAGGTTATGTTTATGTATTCAAAATATAGGAAAGGATAGCTGACGTCACAAGGTCAGCATTTGTAAAACTTTAAAAAAAACTAAGTTTAACTAATGATACATAGGGTAACTGGGGGTAGAATAAAAACAATAATAAAAAACTATTTGCAGAGTGAGCTCAAGTTTATTTCAATCAACTTTACTTAAAAAACAGAATCGATTAAAACTAACTTGAAACTAATTCTACATCCCCTACAAATAGTCTATTAAAATTTTATCCATTTCAAGATTTCACGATTTAAAATCTAATATGACTGGACTAAATCATCTCAGGCACAATAATTTGCTGTAAACGCAAAACTTTCGTGAAGAATTACAAGAAGAATGCTGGAGACGACTCACAAATACTCGGACGATTTATCGTGCTGTTTCAATGAAGTGAGTAAATTTTGACACACTTTTTTATGATATTAATATAATTCTGATAGCTTGAGCATTGTACATAGAGCTCTACAACAATAAAAAACATTACTTTAAATTTCTTTTTACATTATTATAGTATAAAAATGCAAATTTTGGATAGTTTAGTTTTATTGAGTCATGATAACTAATTGAAGAATATCTGCGAATTAAAGAAATAAATAATCACCATAATAACGATCAATAGATCATACAAGTCAACAATTCATCTATTTTATTTTACATTGAAATTTCAAGTTCAATAACATGTAACTTTTACAGACATCCGGATGCATCTGGATTAGTGCCATTTCACTCTGTTAAAAATAATATGAATCGGTGGCAACGAGACCATCATTTGCCTGAACCTCAATCGCTGTCAATATTCAGAGCTCTTTTACAATAACAAATATATGAAAATTTATTGATATACGAGAGAGGATCCTTGACAATCAATTTTTGTAATATTGCTGTAAATCATCGTGATAAAAAGGCAGCTGTCATTACTGATAATAGTTTAATACGAAAAATAGGAGCAAGAAATAATGAGCTGCTCGATTTATATGTTGATACCAACCAAGTTCTGGTTCCACCTGATATAGGTATTTCTACAATCATGACCTGGATTTTACCTCATCGAAACTATGTATGTTTTTTGTAACATTTAATTCAATAAGATAGTTTTATAATGTCTCATAGATTAATATACATTTTCTTCAATTTTTATATTTACAGAGTTTTCCAATAATATGGAATTTGAATGACAGTAACAATACTTCAATATATGAAGTTATTGCTGAAAACGTTCATGATAAACTAATAGAATCAAATATCAATATCGATACAGTTTATTATAATTTCAATCAAAATCTGTACCACTTAATTTCAACAACTTTTGATAATGTCAACATCCACAGTTTGTTTACATCACATTGTCTGGTAAGTTGATATAACTTATTAGGTTTTTGAATTATTATTTAAAAAAAGGAACAATGTGAATTTACATTACAGATACTTTTAACCCGTGCAAAAAAAATTGAAGGTTTTAAAATTAATAATAGAGATCATCAAATATTGCTGAAAAAATTTATTTGTTTGAGCTGGTTACCAAGCGATCAAATTTATCCTGCTTTTGTTGAATTATCATATAATCTTTCGATTAAAATGAAAGACTCTAATTTTGAAGAATTCATTAAATATTATGGCCAAATGTGGATCAATACTGTTGGAACAAATAATTACTCATTTTATCAAAACTTTGATTTATTTTGTCAAGTTTCTCATAAAAATTGGAAAAAAACACAATCACACCTGAATAATAATTTTAATATTTAGAACCTTTGCAAATTGTATTATTAAAATGGTTCAACTCTATGTACAAGGATTTAAATCGTTTGGAAGAAGATAATGATTATCTTGTTGCTGCTCGTGTAAAGATATATCCTTCAAGAAGTAAATTAAGAAGATTGTGGACGTTATTTAATGGACATTTTATAGACAGGAACGCATTTTTAGCAGTCTCTTCAAACTTAATTGATGAATATTTTCAAGATTTAATATTTAATCAAGTGACAGTTGATTCAGATTTTGAGTTAGAGACACTAGTTCACTTAAATCATAATTTACCAGAGGTACGATTCATTGAAAATGATGGAAATTTCAACGAAATTATTTTACACGATGTGCCAAATCATCGTCTCGAAAGAGGTAAGAGTTTTAAACAAAATGATTGAAAATTTTCAGTTTCATGTGAAAAATAATTTCTGAGCAACTTTCCTAAATTTAGTTTCAGTAATGGAACCTTTTCTTTTAAAATTTACATTCTTTATGCAGTTCATCTTCTCTATTTCTCAATTACTGGTACTGTTTCTTATCTGTTGCAAGTATATTGTATGAAATTCATCGGTAATAAACCTTTTTCATATTTCAGCACCCAGGTTTCGAGCTGATGATATCTGTTTAGCGTGTGCTAAAAGGTACCCATTTTATAGATTCCGGCCATGTGGACATGCAGTTTTATGTAGAAACTGTTGTGAAATTATTGTAGCCTTAGCAGAAGCAGAAGAAGAAAGGATAACATACCCGGTTTGTCGGAGTCACCCTAGGGAAGCTGAGGAAATTTAACCGATTATTCCATGATAATTTTTATTTTAATCTCAGCTGAAATGATTCAGTTAATATTTAATTCCTGTTTTGTTTTGCTAATCTCAATTCAAAATTTAAATTCGAGAAACAATATTCAGTACGAAATTTAGAAGATTCTAGTCTTTTAGAGGTATTTCAAGAGTTCAACATGTACCATACTTTATGTTAAGTAATGAGTAATTTTAAAAAGCTAATAAAAAAAAAGGTGATGTTAATGGTACAGAAGACGATGAAGATGCTAGTAGTTTAGAGCAAGAAATTGGTAATTCTAAATGAAAGTTTATAAACTCCTTTTTTTCATTTATGAAAGTTTGGATTGAAAGTTCAAAGAATAACGATTGACTTAATTTTTATTTTGTTTATTAATTTCGAATTTAAAACAAAAGTTGAAAAAATGCTCTTTTTTTATTACTCATATTTTTCATATCATTTAATTTTTAAGATTTTTGTAAAAAAAATATTAATAAAAAAATTCCTACTGATTGAAAAAATTTGGTAACAATAAATATATGAATATATAATCCATTTAACTCGGTTTTGGTCCAATTTTAGCACAACATTAACTTATATGAGACTGCATCTACTGCACTGACACAATTTTCCTTGTCGTTTGAATGCACTTTTAGTTTTGAACTATTCTTTTTATCATGTATCTTACGTGAACTATTTTTTCGACAGTAGATTCTCAGATGGCGCTAGTGTCTACAGTGTGGATCAAATAAACCATTTTTACAAAAGTATTTTATTTATGAGAAATTATCTCAAATGATTTGTTCTTCAAAATTTTCTTCGATACAATTATGTAAATACCATGAAATTTGTATGAATCAAAACTTATTACTTCTCTTAGTGATTAACAAAAAATATTATAGCAAACGGGCCATTTTCAAATTTATACTTCATTATTTGAACTCTAGGGTATTTAATTTTAGTACATTTTATCATCATCAGCACTTATTGCATTCGGGGTACTCTGAGGCACCCATTGAAGGTAATATGTAGATAAAGTGGATGCCTTAGGGTAACCTTTCGTAAATGAGCATGGCCGTGAATGAAATGAGTATTGAATACAATATAAAAATTTATTTTTTAGGTTAAATTATATTACATTTAATTACTTTAATTTACCCAGTTTGCCATGTATCTTATGTTATATACTATACTATATAATTGCAAATATAATTTTTTTACATTATTGATTTTATTGAAAATTCAATTTTTATTAATATTGCGAAAGACGATTTCAAAAGTTACAAAAGTTTCTGTTATGTCAAATTAATCAATTTAATGACCATTCCATCAGAGATTCCACAACCGAAAGTTAATTTGATGATAAGTTTTTACGATAATTTTTTTTCCTTTTTTAGATTTTTAAAATATTTCTGGGCTTCAATTGGGCGTGTTTTAACCCAGATTTGGGCGCGTTCTAAAATATTCAAAAATATTTTTGGGCTCGAATTGGGGGTGTTGAGATCCTGAAAAATTATTCGAGCTCGAATTGGGTCTCCTTTAGGCGCGCCCAAAAACTGATCATTTTTACTCGGGATCTACATTTTTTAATAAAAAGTATTCGTAGTAACTATAGATGTCGTTTTTAGAAAAATTCAGAAATCAATTTTTAAGTAATATGCATGGGTAATTATGGTAATTATATATAATTGTAACAACGAAAAAAAAAAAATGGCCGTAACGGGGATCGAACCCTGCCGGACAAAATATGTATGTATGTATGTATGTTTAAAGAATTATTCCGTAACAAAAAATCCTTGCAACAATATTCGATACTTCTCGCATAAAAGAATGTTTCGAAAGTGGGGAATTCCAAAATTCGGTGTTACTAGGAGATCCTGCATACCCAGATTTATCTTTCATCATGAAGCCGTTGTTGAATCCAATCACTCCAGCCGAAATGCTATATAATGGAATCCAAATTCGAAGTCGAACGATGGTGGAGCGATGCTTTGGTGTGTGAGGTCGGATGTTTGCTGTATTGACAATAGGGTCAAGATTTTGGACATCGGATTAGACAATGGCCGTAATTATTGCTTCTGCTGTCTTATATAATATCACGAGGCAAGCGATTTCTCTTCCTGTCATAGACAGGGCTCTTCATGATAATATACCACAAACTTTTGATGCTGTCAACGTGAATGATGAACGTTAGCACATTATCGATAGTTATTTCCATGAGTATGTACCAATAATTATTGTTATCAATGATCGAAAATATTTTATTGTTTTCAAAAACATTTTTACGAATTCCAGTTTATTGTAAATAGTCAAGAAAACCTCGGATTTTTTGAAATAATTCAATGGAGTTACTGTATTTTTGCAAGGAAAAGGCAAAAAATGTTTGAGACAAGTATTTCTCTTTGAAGATCTAATTCTCTTCAGTAAAGCTAGAAAATTTCCTGACAAAAAAATAACTTTTTTTCTCATAATATACATATTAATAGATATTAAATTTATCAATTGAAAAATTATTGATATGAAATGTCGAACATTTATAGTCGAAAAACTTTACTTGTTACTTTTTTTTTTTTGACAAGTATTTAAAAGAAGAAAAAAATTAATTTATATTGAAATTACTTCGTTCAAGTGCGGGAGCTTACAAAGATAAGTGCGTTGTTAAAGTATGGGAATAAGGAATAAATCTTGACTAGACAATAGACTTAGTGCTGATCAAATAAACGACAGATCAATCAGCGTCGCTCAACTTTCAAAGTGTAAGTAAAAAGCTTTATTATTTTTACTTTGATCACTCATATCAGACTAAACAATTACAGTCTTAAGTTTGACATAGATTGTTCAAAAGATTAATTTGAAAGATTTTTTGTGATTGATCGTATTTCTAATGTTAATTTTATTTTATAACAGCTCCAAGATTTAGAAATTCAGTTGCAGTATCAATATCACATGTCTCCTATCGCTGTAGTCGTAGACCTCATATCTGTGAGCTCATCATCAAGTAGTGGAGGAAGCAGTGAAGCCCTACAAACCACTTGGTATCTAGGTAGTACTACACTTAATAGCCAATTTAGTGTTGGTAAGTAGATTCAATTGTCATTTATGATTAGATTATTAGCCAAGAAATTCATTACAATTACATGCATTCATTAAATTAAATTATTTTCACAGAAAGTGAAACACATTCACTAAATACATCAACACCTCTCCAATTTACTACAAATTCTCATGTAGCACTAGTGCTACCTTCAACTTCTTCCACATAAGTCATTACAATAACTCCAGTTTATCGTTGTTGCTATTTTTGTTGATTAGCAACTACTACTCCAGTAGCATCAGCTTTGCAATCCCTTAAAACAGCTCTGGCTTTAGTACTCTAGTCATCGAAGCCAAATTGAAGAGCTAATAATATGCTGAACGTTAATAGTATTTTTTTATTGCTTATAACAGATGTCATTAATTATTTTTGAAAAATATTTATTAAATGTATATACTATTTTCTTATACATAAGTATTTGTTACAAAAGTATAAGACATTGCTGGAAATATCATTTTTCTGTAATTATTAATGATCATAGGAAAATGTTTAATCATATTATTCTCTATAAGTTATCTTAAATATAATGTAATGTAAAAATATAACTAATTATTTATATTTTTACATTCGATTATTTCTAGGATCACTTGTAGAATGTAATGTAATTGAATATTTTTCTTGGAATATAAAAAATAACATTAGATTTCGTAAGAGTTACACACAATAATAAATGAACTAAAAATAACGTATAAAGAACATATAAGAATGAAAATAAGAATAATACGATACTTTTTTTAACTCATCTCATTATCAACTTTTAAAATACATTTTTATGTATTTTTGAGATCAAAGTTATATAAAATAAGATTTAATTGATAATAACACAAACAAATTATTCTAATTTGAAATATCATAAGTATCGTTCCCCCACAATCTTGAAGCTTTCGTTTGAGAAACTTTAATTGTAAATCTTCGCGTTTAATTTGTTTTTCAAATAATTTTTTTTCTAAACTTTTTTTATCTATTAAAGCGTCTCTTACGAGATCGAAGACTTCAGCTTTAGTAGATTTCAAGCTATCTTCCGGTGGTTTCTTTGTATTATTATCCATTTTTGGTTTTTTAAAAGTGAATCCGGGGTGGCCATGCGATGGACCTGGTTCTCGGTGGTGTATGTTAGGGGTGTCTGTGATGACTTGTGTGAGCGGAGGGCTTAATGCAGTTTTTAGATTTGTTGTTGCACATCTTGCCCATGACTTAGTTTCTTTTTTTTTTATAAGAAACTAAAATTAGAATATTAATACAAATATACTAACGTTTATCGTAAAATAAATAAAATTAATAGGTTACCTCAAATATTGGCTTGTTTGGACTCTCATTTTCCATAGCATCAGAATCGTAAATTTTTCCCAGTCCTTTAATTGATGCCGATTTGATTACATTCGTTTTCAAATCTAACAATTCTAACGAAGCTCCATTGACACCTCCTCCTGCAATAAATAGAATTTAGAATCATAGTAATCTTCAAAATGGGTGAAAAATAATAATGAAATATTTAATATTTACCTGTACGGTAAGTCTCTCGTTTTAATGTAGCGTAATTCTTCTGTGTTTTACACTTTTGATGTGCCCAGAAATTTTTGATAGAATTTGAACACCTTTGTCTTTCACGACCAGAGTTATATTCATTAAAAACTGTAGTTCATGCTTCCTTTTTCTCTTTTTGGGAAAATTCGAAAAAGTATTTTTTTACACAATTCATCGAAAGAGACGAAAGAAAGACTCAATTTTATAGATGACATAGCACTCCTATTGATTTCAAACTTTTTTGGTGTTTCAAAATTTTTTTAAAATCATTATTCAAAAATGAGAATTTGGTTATTTGCAAAGTCATTTGCGACGTGGACATGGCGCGAAGTTTTACTTCTATCCAATAATGGCAGTTTTAGTAGGATACTTCAAACACTTGAAGAAAAATTCTGAATAAGATTTATGCTATCAAATGTTTTTTAATACTTTGATCAAACATTCGATCTACAATTTCTTACGCACATTTATGTGATTTTTTGATTAAACGATTGATAAAAACAGTTTTATGGTTTTGCGATTATGGCAAGTCAAACTTGGCGGAATTTCATGATTTTAAACATTTTTTGCATGTAGAACAATTTGAAAATATGTTGATATCATTAAAAAATTGAAAACCTACGATATTGCGGAATCGCCGTAGTAACTTAACTTTACACGAAAGATGAATAGATAACAATAAATGTTTTTTTGAAATTTATTCTCTTTCGTGGGTAACTTTAGTTTAATTAAAGCTCGTATTTGCGGTAAAACAATTCAAATTTTTCGTGATAATCTTGAATTCGATTATTTATTATAAATTCTATTAGTATTAAATATAGACGATTGTTTAAATTTATTTTTCATTTTTAGCAATGATTGCAGCAAGGCAAGTTGATTTAAGATAAGTTGAACGAAGTCGAAGTGATACCAATCTTTAATAGAATCTCTTATTCATCGTCAATAATCGATGTGGCATGATTGCAAGAAAAAAGTAATAAATTTGTGTGTATGAAAGGAAACAGTAAAAATTCGAATTTTAATATAAGATTTGATATATGATCATTTAGAGCGATTACAATCGTAATCAATAACATGTTCGATTACATTTATTCACATGAGTAGTAACGTTTCATCAGTTAAAAACAGGGGTTAGGAGCAAAACTTTAGATCCTTTGGATGTTTTGCTCACTGAGCGATCGAATCCATAAAGAAAATATTCAGGTTGAAACATGAGTAAAACATTTAGCGAAAATAAAAGAATTTGATAGGAAAAAAATTTTCCAGTACTAATATTGTGTACCTCAAGTTTAGAGTATTTACTTTCGAGCTCTTTGAATATAAGATTAGAGATTGAGGAAAAAAAGCCGTAAGCATAAAAATACGTTCAGAATTGATATCCTAAATGCAAATCGTAGTAGCCTCGAAAAAAGATTAAAATAAAAATGTTAAGACACTAATAGTTTATGATGATAAACTTAAACCGGGTCTACCTGACGGGTCGTGTATATGGAAGCGAAGCGAATGGCCAGAGTTTTACTCACTCGGAAACTAAGCCGACAGATGGAGCTGGCATAGATAGGTTCTAGTTGCTTCGAACGTTAACAACGTTTGCGGACGCAAAATAAATACATATTTCTTTTTTTTAGTCACTAAAAATTTTTAAAGTTTAAACAACAACGATTGATAATAATAAAGAATTAATTATATATTAGTGTTACTCTTTGATAAATTATTTAATAGTTAACAAGTCACCAAAATATTTCCAACGACACGAGAGCCATAGTGTGCTTGAATTTTTTTAAAGTCCACGCCTCTTTATATTGAGGTGATATTAATTAAACATAAATACTCTTACTTATTTTTTCAGTTTTTTGTTTGTAAAAGAAATTTTTATATATCACTTTTTTTTCCGTTTCTTTGAACTATAAATTAGAAATGAATTGATAGAATTTTTTTTTACAGTAAAAATAACGACGATTCGTATTAATATTAAATCAATTATACATTACTGTCAAGCTGATAGACAATTATTTAATAGTTCACTATTTATTGTTTTCATTCATTTCTGTCAACTTTTACCGTTCGAAAAAATTTATTAAAAAAAAATTTAATCAGCTTATTTCTTATTTAGAGTCGGTGAAATCCAGAGTCTGCATCTTTGTCTAATTTCGCTGCACAGCCGCTATACAAACTTCATTTTAACATACATCAGTTAATAGATGTAAAAAATAAAATATTGTTAATAATACTTGAATATTATTATTAAACTTTTAAGAATAAATGAAAATAAAAAAGAAGGCATTCAACAGTTGCTAATGCTAATCACTGAATAGCATCAACTAAATACGGTTAAAAACAGTTTTTTACAACAATTTATACTCGTCAGTAATCAAATAATTATATTAAAAATAATAATAGGCTGTTACAATTAATGAAATATTGAAAACAATTATTTACCATTAATGTTTATTTAACGTATTTTGAATTATTAGATAATTGTTACGAGGTAAACAATTATGATAAAGCTGATTGAAATTCAATAAAAATAATACTCTAATGTTAAGTAGGATACTACAGCAAAACAAATTAGTTTATATTGTTGATAATAGTTAAATGATGATAACAGAACTAGTTATTGAATAATTTTGAAAATTTCATTGTTTTCATTACTTACATTTTTTAGTTGGATATTTTAAAAATCATACATATCACTATTAATCAAATGATATCAGAAATAATGACATTCATAAATCCCTAGTTATGAATAGTTTTGTTAATATTATGCTTCTGATATCAACAGTATTAACTAATTTTTTCTGTACTATATTTTACTTAATGTTAAATTATTGCTTTTATCAAATTTCAATTGGTTTTGGTAATCGTCAATAATTGAAAATAATATGAAATGATTGTTTTCAAAAAAAACTTAGTTTTTATTATATTTGGTTTTTCATAATAGTCTATTGCTGCTTTTAATATAATTGTCTCATTATCTTTTATGAATTTAAATAATTTGCTATTGTGTTTTCATTGAAAACTTTTCAAGCAGGCACCCACCTACGTACTAACTCTAGCAATGTTGTTTGACTTTGAAAATTGCGCGCGTGCTCCTGTATTAAATGTACTTCCTTATATTTACAATTTTCTTTGTATTTCGGTATTTAACTGTTTGACAATTCGTATTAAAGAGAATGGTAATGAATACCGTTGATAATGACTCTCTTCATATAGTCATGAGATTATCATATTAAAAATAAAACAATATACGTATTCGTATACGAGTGGTATATTTTTAAAAGCCATTTCTTATTGTCAATATCTACCTAATATTATTTCAAATGATTATATCTTATTTTTGAGCATTTACTACTTTACTTTATATTGTTCTTAATGGAATTAAAATAATAGTGATATAACTATTCGACGAATTTTATTATTTTTTACATTATACACCTCACTATTTATGAAATAACTAGTATTACTATAAATTCAAATATGTAAAAAATAATTAAATCCATACAATTATTCGATAAAAAATTTTATTCATATCAGTTTACTGTTATTGTTCAGTATGAAATTAAACTTCTATATCGCATTCTAACTAACCATTTAGATTTTTTTTTTCTCAAATTCAAACTAGTTTTAAAAATAAAAATTTTCAGCTCAAAGTGGAGTCACACCAAAAATCTTGCTATGTTAAAAGTTAGGAGCCTCAGTAGAAAATGTTCCTTGAGTTTCAATTGGGGCTGTAAAACTTTACGGCTCCTTATTGTTCATTGTTAACAATACAGTCTCCTTTCTGAAGAATTTGTCCTACCTTAATAATTGTCTGCATGGGCCTCATAAACTCCTCAATTCGTGGGCCCAACATAAAAGGTGTATGCAATCCCTCTTTTTGAACGCAAAAATTAATTCTTATGTCGATAATTTTTCTGATTTGTCATTAAAATATAAACACTTTTATATCTTATTATTTTGAATTATATACAATGAAAGATTGAATGGTATGGTGGAGCATAATCAGGGGAAGCCACAGAAAAATGGAACATAAAGAAAAATTGTAAGGTATAACAAATTAAGTAATAAAGTTACAAATATTGAAAAATTGTATTTCATGAAAAGATGAAAAAATTGACGATAAAAAGCCACTATAAGCATTTTTAAGCTTACTTCAATAAATTTATGAATTTTTTTTAAGCATTCTTCTCTACCTCGGCGTTCCATTTCATACTATATTTTACTTTATACTTTATTCATATTTTATACTTACTTACTATTTATAAATCAGTGATAAATTCAAATAATTATTCACATAACAAATACTTTTTGTGTTTAAAATGTATACTTCGAACACCAGAAGCACTAGAGCACTGGACGTTTCAAAATTTATGGCATAATGAGAGATTTTACCTATAAAAATAATCAAAGTTAACTCATCCACCTCAAAAGAATGTGCTTGCATACACCTCTTATGGTGGATTCATGGATTGTCGGGTAATTATCTATCTGATCGTTTTTAGGCGAAGATCAATTATTCATTCAATATATGAAGGGGAATTCATTCGTCACCAAGTTTTTGGTGATAAACATAATTTTTAAATTTCTAGTAGTAAAATATTCTATATATAGTAGCAAGTAGAACATATGCATAAAATTGAAAACGAACTTTTTTTTTACACAACGTCATGTTCCCATGCATTTAAGCGAGACGGTGCTTTAAGTAGTATCGTATTGCAGAAGAGAATATGATTATTTAAAATAGCAGCAATTAATTTTTTATGGAATTTTTTTTTTTTTTTAACTGACTAATTAATTATTTACTTCAACAAAATATATAAGATATTATTTAATTACTTTTTTTAATAAGTAGAATTATTGTTAAATTATTCTTGTCGATATTATTATGTATTTAATATATGACAATTGTTATGACGATGAACACTTAATTGTTAATTGTCATCTACAGCAAGCATAGGCAAACCTGGTTTCTCGAAATCAGAAACATATATTAAGACTATGAGAAAAAATTGTTCGTTGCCAAGTGCGCCAATACCTGACCGACAAGACGTTCTTGCCTGCCCGCATAAGCGCACACTGGAAATCTGAGTTAAAATAACAATGGGATACTTTGATGTTGAGTAATAAACCTAGGTCTCAATATTGCATTTCTAACCTAGGTAGAATCGTTCGACTTTTGTGACTGAACGGTTAAGTCCCCTAATAAATTTTCTGCCTTTCAGAACTTATTCATAAATTTTCGGAAAGCGAAAGCAGTGAAAAAAAATGCCTGCGAAGGTAGCAAAACAATACATTTCCGAAGTTTATTGGACCCAATAAATGAATATAATTGTCCAATGGATTTTTGGATTCATTTTGGGTATTGCGTGCTCCTTCACTACCCCTAATTTTACTTTTCTATTGTTCACTATAAAAATAGAATATATTCACAAATTGTTCATAAATATTATGAATAAATGGGCAGAAGAAAAGAGTCTCGCGCTAATTTATACGCCTTAATAAAATTACAATGATAAATTTTATGTTCAATGTTGAAGACGTGAACAATACGTGCTCAGTCTCTAGAAATAAATACGAAATGTCATAAAAAAAATTTATAATTTAATTGTTTAGCTCTATTGTACATACAAGAATTTTGCCTAAGTCGCAGATAACAAATTTAGAATCTACTTTGGCGAACTCACATAACGTGCCGTCAACGGAAATAATAATTCGACGATTTTTATACGCCTTGAAGATATCATCATATTACATCAGAATAATGACACAAACTAATTCTAATTGAGCTTAATCCGTGGACATTTAATGAAAAATCCACTTATTCTGAGAAACAAGTACCTGTCTACATCAAAATACTCCACTCATTGGAATATCGTGAATAAACGCTGCTGATGAAAAACAAATACTAATATTCTTAAAGAATATGCTGAACAATTTTTGTTGGTAAACCTGATCTACGTCAAAAAATAATTACTGACAATCATGCACTTTATATATTACCGCCTATTTTTGCCTTGTTTTGCCTATTTGCATGGAAACAAAAAGAAGTGGTGAACATTACTGTTCGTAGCTTGGGTTGTATCTCGAAGAATTAATAAACTAATATAGTGTAGTACATACACTTTCAGCTGTTTCAAAGTCGTAAATATGTTATTTTCAATTAGTCTCCAGAAACACGATGCATTTTTATTAAATCTCTAGTCCGAAACATTCTTAACAAGTACATAATATATTGAATATTTTTAATGAGGATAATTGACAACGACCACTGGCCAATAAAAAATTCATATCTATGAATGATTTAGTAATTGGCCAGTCTGAGTTGATCATTAAATCAATAAATGTTGATGAGCCAAAGTAACAATTTTACTTATTTTTCTAGTGTGCCAATCACTAGAGTTGATTTAACTTTAACACATAATCCAGCTCCACCTCTATTGCAACCAAACTTAAAGTCTATGGGCCGGACTTACTCTCATTCCTTCAATAAGGACCTTACCTGATTTTCTCATTACCCCTACTCAAAATTTTCATAGAAACAGAAAATTGCTCATTCGTAAAAGTAACATTCAGGTAAAGTGGGACGTCTTATACTTTATAAAATAATGTTAAGGGAGGTTCGACTATGCACCTTGTAACGAGATGGGTGAATCGAGTGTCACCCAGCCCTTCAGCAGGTCGATACGTTATCGACCTGTCGATCATTGATTGACCTAATTTACCAATTAGGTCAAAATAGTTTATTTTTGGCGGCGCTATCATCACCACGTGGTCAGCCGGCTAGAAATTTTACAAAAAGACGCCATTGTGGAGTTGTTGTCGAACGAGTAAGCACGTGGTGTCAAGTTCTCTTCTCTGATTCTCTGCAATCATCTTTTCTCCGACGTTGCGGAGTAATAATTAAAGTAAAAATTGTGAAAACAAGTCTCTCGACGTTGCGAGAGCAATAGTGAAGTGCCAGTTAGGCTATATTTATCGAAAAAGCCCTCGACGTTGCGAGGTGAAGTTAGTTCGTTGTTGGTTGGTGTGCTTTACCACCTGTTTGGAGGACCAGTTATTGTTCCGTGTACCAGTCGCAATTAATTTGTGGATGTCTCGCCGAGGAAGTAAGCCCCGTTGGACCAGGGGTCTGGGATACTTAGACGACGAGGAGCTTCCGTAAGCTGAAACCATCTACATCTATCTACTATCTCTTTCCTTTCTATACTCCCTGTGTGCAAGTGTGAGAGAGAGAGAGTATGTGCTTCGCGATCCGGTACCAGAAATTTCGTCTAGGACCATCTGTCCTTGTTCCTCGCTGAGGAATTTCTT